TCCTGCTGGCATTAAATACTTGTTTAAGTGCGTGGCATAAATGCCTCCATGCTCAAATATTTGCTTTGAGCTTGAACATCCTTTCTGAGACTTAATTTGTTTAACATGCAGTTGCTTTAGTTGGGTGTATACATTGAGATGCACAGAAATAGGACATTAAATGTCTGGGCTGTAAGTCAGAATTTTAATCTGTCGTTTTTCACTGCCTGTGTTTCATTTTGCTTGACACATGGGGTAGGGCTGGTTTCCAGCACCTTTTTGTAATTAATGCATGTGCACCAGTGGCAGCTTTTCAGCAAGCAGGAGTGTTACACATGGGGCAGGATGAAGTGAAAGATGCTCATCTCCCTTGGGTAGCTGGGGAAGCCTGCAGTAAGAAATTAAACTCCTAGTGGTAGTGATCAAAGTACATTTTAAAATGTCTGGAATTTATACATATTGATAAGACTTCCTTTGCTCTGAGCCTTTTCTCCGTGCTTAGATAATCCCAGTTCTCTCAGCTTCTCCCCATATGTCAGAGGTTCCAATCCCTTAATCATCTTTGTGGCCCTTCACTGTACTCATTCCACTGTGTTTCAGTCCTTACTAGTGTGGTGAGAGCCCTCTGGAGCTGTGGATCAATTTTTACTCACGTCATCCCCCTTGTACAACTGTATGTGATCAGCCTCTTAATTAAGTGTGTGCTCCCTTTTCCCATATTCTTTATTCTTTATGTAGCCTTGAAAAGGAGGTAGCCACCCAGTTTCCAGATATTTCTAGATACTGCTTTGCCAGTATGCTGGTTTTACTGTCTACATTCGAAAAGATGCCCACAATTATGACAGATATTTTACAGGATCGTATTCTGTCACATTTGGACAATATGGAGCTAAGGAGCCAATAAAAGTAGGTTTTGTGGCAGCTTTTGAGTGTAGAAATGTAGGCTTTGGGATATGGAATGGGTGAAGTGGTCGAATTTTTTGTGCCAACGTCTTCAGAGCCAAAAGTCTCTTTAAAGGTCTTGAGGATGATACATTTCTCCATTCAAGAAAGGGAAACCTTTGGCATGTGCTGTAATGGCACTTTGGCTTGTTTCTGTGAAAGATGCTGCTGCTCTGTATCTGGCACATGTTGCATGATCCCAGTATAAATCCCAGTATAAATGATACTTTGTACATCATTTGCCATCTCTGCAGGATGGGACATATTTGTGGTTTACCATCTCTCAACTAGTGTGCAGCTGAGGAGGAGTTAAATTGAATTTCAATAGGCAAAGTTGCATACTTGTGTTTTAAATTCCCTTGGTGGCACAACAGGGGGACTGTGCTGCAGCCCACAGTTGCATCTCCAGTTCTTCATGCTTTTTTGGTACTGTGACTACTTTCAGGAGCCTCCTAAGTCTGCTGTATCTCTTTGTTTCTCTCCCTTGCCCAGATATCCTGGAAGTGCGGCAGAAACCAATTCTGATGACATAGCAGAGAGCGGGCACTGCCTTGGAGCCTTGTTGCCAAGTGCCTAACCACAGCGGTTTTCTGTGTTAACACTACCATCTAGTGTCAGGAACATAAACCTCCGCAGGAAAAAAGGGAAGTCCGAGAATACCAGCCGATCAAAAGTGCCTCTTTCTTCCTTCCTCTGCTGTCACGCACCGTATGCACACGTGCAGTACATGGCTCGAGTGTTGCTGCCTGCAAGAGGACTTTCATCAAGATCAAACGAGAAGGGGCAGTGTTTAAAACAAGTCAATGCTTTATGGACAGTTTGTTACTCTGTTTATAACTAAGAAACCAACAATAAGTACACAACGTGTTAAAACTTCACATTCTTTGGGAGAACCAACTGGAGAATTTCATAATGATGTACTAATGAACATGGTTCCATGAGACTCTGGCCCATACACTCTGGCTTGATGTATGTGTGAGAGTGTGTGCGTGCGTGTGGGGATTGGAGGGATAGGGGAATCATTTCCTACTGAGGGAAGGTAAGGAAAAAGATGATACAAAGGTACACAGCCGTTTTGGTACGTGCAGCGGGTCAGGTCAGAGCTGAAAAGAGGCTGAAAATGTTCCCACTTGTTCATGTGTCAGTGTTAGGACAGTTGAACACTGCTGACAGATTTCTGTATCTACCAAAGAACAGCAACATTTCATCCTCAAGAACTAGCTAAGAAGATGAGCCAGTCAAAAGAAGGGTAAAATGTGCTGCTACAGTAAAGCCGAGGTTCATATCCAGAACTAATGCTGCTTATCTCTGGGAGCTGAGTTGATAGAAGCTTGAGACTAAAGTGGAAAAATAGGATGCCGGAATTGGACTCCAAAACCTAAGAACCTTACCAATAGCCAACATCCTCCTGCATGCACTGAACTTCAGAGTAGGCAGAGTCATCCTGGTGGTAGCGTTTGTAGCCAAGGGGGGCATGAGAACTCATGAACGGTGGGGCAGCCTGCCTGGATCCTTCATCTCCTCGTGGTGTTTTGCTGTACTGTGACATGCCGACACACGGAGAGTTTTCTTGAAAGACAAAAGATGGAAGTGTAATTCTGCTCTGAGAAGTGACTAAAAGTAGCATAGTGGAAGGTGTGAAAATTGTGTGTCAGGAGTTCTCAGGAAAAAGCCTTATGTTTACAGGTAAAATGCAGCTTTCTCTAAATAGCAAGACTCCGCTGTCCTAGATATTTGAAAGCTAACTTTCAAACTTTTTTGGTGGTATACTGAGACTGCTGCAGGCAGCTTCACTGTTTTGATATGGAAGCCAGTCAGTACTTTGATTTATTTACAGCTGCACAGCTGGCACAGCAAAGGGTGGGGTAGCATGTCACCTAGATCATGTGATGCTTCAGTGCATGCACAGATAGAGTGAGAAATGCCATTTCTGTCACTTTTCAGAATGCGAGCACCTAAACTTAATGCTGTTGCCACAGTTAGCAAATGGCATATGCTCTGGGCCTGGACCTATGTCTCCCTCAGAGCCAGCCTTTCTTTCCCAAAGTGCTTTGTTGTTATTCTCTCAAAAACATCAGATGACTTAACCTCTTAAATAGGACTTTCTGCTTTTTTTTCCTCAGGCCAGGTTTCATGGGAATAGCTCCACTTCAGCATAAAGGTAGACTAAATTTATCATTCAGCCTAACATGGTGAATCCTGCATGGTAAGGAGGTTTTGGTTTGTTTTGCCCTTTTTTTTTTTTTTTTCAATTGAGGCTAGGCCTGGAAGCAGTCACCTTATTGCAGGATGGTAGCATTTCTAACACCGACAGCATGAGCGCATGACAGGCCTGACTGACCAGTTTTTAATTTGCTTCACATGTGTTGCAACAGCATTAGAAAAAAGTTCACTTTGTCATTACCAGCACAGCCACTTTTCATGTTGCAGCCTTTGAACTTCACTCCATGGGAGTGTTTGGTTGTGCCTGTGTGTGAGGTGTTCATGTGGTCAAACATGAGGCATGTTCTTTGGGTGCCTAGGCTTCATTCCCGAGTTGGGGGGGGGAGAGGTACAGTCCTAAATCAGCAGCTGAAGTGGCCTCTTAAAAAATTGCTAGGCAGCTGAGGCACATACCTGAGATCCCTAGGGGGTCTCGGCACATATATTCTCCCTCTCCTCATGCTAAGCCACTCTTCAGCTAAAAGACCAGTCCTACTCTGAAGCCCCTCAAGATGGTCCTTATTCTACACTTCCACACTGCTGGGCTGGGCAAACCAGTGCTTGTTTTTTCTTTATGTATTCATTGGGGAGGGAAGGGAGAGAGGTTTAATATTTGTACAACTAGTCACAATTTATGCCTTTCAGTCAAACAGCCAGAGGAATAATACACATGAAAAGGAAATCTATCCAGATTGGAACCCCAGTTGTAGGTGCCTAAGTACTGCTTCAGTCGACAGTAATTTGTCATGCTTTCTTGGTATCGTGTATTGCATTTAAGTAGCTTCATTTCATGTGGTCTGAAAGGCTGGGCAAACCTTGCTGCATAAGACTTCAGAGCAAATGAAGAATGATTCTAAACTAGTATATTAGTATGAAGGCAGCATCACAGTAAGTACAGCTCAGATCCCGTGTCTATTATGCAGGAGGTATTGTCTGCTTTGTTACATGTACGTGGGTGGATTTTGATGTCTAGTCTTTGAAAGGATGCAGTGTAAATGTCCTAATAAAAATCAGTTGATTTATTGTATCCTGCTAGTGGATATGCTATAGGTACATTGAAGACTCATTTGTTTTAGTAGAGAAGGGCTACAGTTATGCCCAGATGGACATCCATTGAAAACAGAGGTCAGAAAGTCTACTGAATGTCAATAGTGCTTTTTTGAAATAAGTAGATGTGCCAGATTCTCAGTTATTCCTCCTCTAAACAACTCACTTAGACTTCTCATGTATCACCCCTGGTTCCCGCTTCCTGTTATAAAATGGGGGGGGGGGGGGAAAATCCATGTTTTGTTTTCCTTTTGAACATAATCTTAAAATTATAATTTATTTTCCTTGTAGAGACAGATTGACAAGGAAGGTGATCAGAGCTTTGCTTGGGCCCCAATGGCAGAGCTGAGCCCTTAGCCTGCTATTGCACTATACCAAAAAAAGAATAGGAAATGTTAATAGGAATCTCTCACCTTTTCAGTTTGATTTAAAAAAGGGGGGGGGGGGGGAAAATCCATGTTTTGTTTTCCTTTTGAACATAATCTTAAAATTATAATTTATTTTCCTTGTAGAGACAGATTGACAAGGAAGGTGATCAGAGCTTTGCTTGGGCCCCAATGGCAGAGCTGAGCCCTTAGCCTGCTATTGCACTATACCAAAAAAAGAATAGGAAATGTTAATAGGAATCTCTCACCTTTTCAGTTTGAGGTGTTTTAATTCTGTAGCTCCTAAGCAATAAAGCATTTTGAGCCTCTGTTGGCCGTTTAAATAACTACTGAGGAGTGAACTAGCGTGTTCTGCATGCCATAAAGGCTGTATGGCTGTTGATGTCTTAACTGTTGGAACACAGTGGTTTTTATTAGTTATGCTGGTGCTTGAGAAAGCAGCACGGTTAACACATTTGGGAAGCTTTGCAGAACAGCTTTATTTATTTAGAGAATCCTACTATACCTCATTACTCAGTTAACTTCTTCCATCCTTCTGCCCATTCACTCTCTCTGGAGATGGAGTCTTACCACTTGAACTATCCATAGATGATGTATATTGATAAATGTCAAATGCAAGGATGTAAATCTTTTCACTCTTAATAGGTTTTCATAGCTGTCAAGTCAGCAAGTAAAAAGCCTTTGTTTTTTAAAGAAAGCTCTTAAATCAGTTATTTTGTATTAGCAGATTATTGCCCTGCTTTAGAGATGACTGTGTAGGTGAAATCATGTTCTCTTACTGCCAACCAGCACAGGCTGGGTTCCAAGTCTCCCTGTAAAAGAAGAAACCATTTTTAGAAACACCACAGATCTTTCAGCTGTCCTGGCTAATCCTGTTTGTGTGGGTTCCTTTCCTTCTCTTCTTATTCTCCTGGTCTTCATTGTTTACAAGTTTTGAGCATGTTGGGCTCTGGATTGCTGTTACTCAGTTTTCCAGTTCTGTGCTTTCCAGAAGAGAGAATTATTTGCACAGGTGGCTTTTCAAAATAGAGTGGTTTTCCCAAAGTATGTTCTTCCACCAAGTTTTACTTAAAACAGTGAAGTCCTTGGCTCTGCAGACGATTTCCTCTGGCAGACCCCCATGTACAGAATCCCGTCTGGTCACTGAAGTTCTACATGGATGTGGTGTGGAGCCCACATAAATGTCTACACTTTCAGACCATTGACCCGCTTCTTTCCAATCATTCATTTTTCCCTTTCTAGATGATGGCTTGTCCTGTGTTTTCTAGTCTAAAGCCTCCCCTTTACTAAAGATAGATATAAGAGAAAATCTTCAGAAGTGCCTAAGCTCTGTTGCTGTCCAGTGGGGTTTAAGAACAAATTTTTGTTTAGGAAATGAAGTAGTCTTAAATTCTGTCTGTGTTGTGTGTAGCAGCATCAAGAAATGACAAGCTTATAGTTCTTGGAAGAACTGGCCATCTCCTACAGACTCACCCTTTGTGTTTGAAAGACCCTCATGGTCTCCAGAGGTCATGGCTGAAAGCTCTGGGAAATGGATTTCTTGTGATCACAGCAGTTGGATGTATCTGTGAATGCCTTACCATGTTTTGTGAGGTGTGACTTGAAATTGTGTGGCGCTAGTGTGAAGAAGTTCTGTGTCAAAAATAGGTTAGGTAGAATCCAGTGAAAGGCATTGTGAAATAAGTAGCTTTCACACCAAACCTTAAACAAAAGAGTATATATTACCAGAATGTAGCTGTTTTGATGCTTGGTCAAGATAATAACAAGGCTGCAAGCAGGTTACAATGTTGAACGTTCTCCGTGTAAATATATAAATATTCTGAGCCTAATTTTATCAGACTAACACATGTTGCATGGTTTGGGCTTTTTTTTGCCTCATTGATCATCAGTGTTGATTAAAAGATGATAGGTTGAAAGTCATGCTGGCGCTGTGCTGAGCCCCTTGAGCAAAGAGCAAGGAGAACCTTTGTGCACCAAAAATGGAGTTGACTTTGCATATGGCAGCAGTGAAGTAAGTGTTGGAGCCTGCAGCCAATAAACAGACCTCTTAAATGACCATGAAGTTTGTTAATAGTGTTTTCTCTCTCTGTGCCTAGTGGTGTTGAAGTTTGAATGTATTCCTTGCTGGTGGTAAGCACAAAAGGTGCAATAGCACTGTGGTAGCCATGGTAAGCATTG